TCCTGCTGAGCTTTTTCTACAAAAAAAGCCCTGCATACATGTACGTATATATGAATAAGTGTCTTGAGCTGGATGGCCCCGACTATCCCAATCTCAACAGATCTCGGCAGCTAAGCAGGGTTGGCCCTGGGTAGTATTTGGATGGGAGACCACCAAGCAAGTTCGGGGCTCCTACACAGAGCCAGGCAATGGCAAACCACCTCTGAGTGTCTCTTGCCTTGGAAACCCTGCAGGGTCGTCTTAAGTTGGCAGCGACTCGACGGCACTTCCCACCAGAACCAAAATTCTTTGTGTTGTCCCTTTCAGAGAACAGGGCACAGTGTGTGCTGCCAATTGCACACAGTTGACAGCTTCCAGGTACTTCCAGATCTTTTTTGTTGTCTTTCTAGATTAAACCAAAGTCCATATAGTGGGCTCTCTTTCTGTGGAGGTTTTCAAACAGGCTAGATGACCCATCTGACAGCAGTGCCGATCCTGTGAACTTAGGCAGATCATGAGAAGGGAGGGTGGGAAGGGTTGCCTCAGTGCTTAGTTCTCGTGGCCCCTTTCTTACACGCCCGGGGAAATGCTGATTGGCACTTTGTGCAATTTTCTCTAGGCCAGTTTGGCTGGAGATCCTGGAGTTTTTTTTTTGTTATCTTCTGGGTGTGGAACAGCGGTTACAGCAGGTGTGGAGGGGGGACGTATTTATGAATTCCCAGCATTGTGCAGAGGGTTGGACTAGATGACCTTGGAGGTACCTTCCAATGCTATGATTCTATGGGTCTAACAGTGACCTGCCTTGAAAACCCTACAGGGGTCAGCATGAGACTGCCGTGACCTGATGGCACTTTCCACCACAAGTCAAGCTGTAAAGCTGAATTCACGCCATGGACAAACAGTCTGCCACGTCTGCTACTAAGGTATTAAGATCTCTCCTTATCCTCATAATGCTTTATTGGCACACTGGTGGGTAAGCGATCTGGGAGTCTGGAACTCCAAATAACCGTTTTAATGCTCTGGCTGGGAGTCTGGCTTACCGTGATATATTCCATGATCTGCTCGACGGATGTAAATTTAGCTTCGGTCTCAGTTCCCGTTCTTACACACACTTGAAGGAGCCCACTTAACTACAAAGAAAGGGGGAAAGAGGAATAAATTTCATGGGACATCTTCATGCACAATTTGCACCGGAAAGGGATGAAGAAGAAGAAGAAGAAGAAGAAGAAGAAGAAGAAGAAGAAGAAGAAGAAGAAGAAGAGGAAGAGGAAGAGGAAGAAGAGGAAGAAGAGGAAGAAGAGGAAGAGGAGTTGGATTTATACCCCACCCTTCACTCAGAGTCTCAGAGAGTCTTACAATCACCTTCCCTTCCACTCCCCACAGCAGACACCCTGTGAGGTAAAGTGGGGCTGAGAGAGCTCTGACTGAGAACTGCTCATGAAAGAACAGTTCTGTGAGAATTCTGACTGGCCCAGGGTCACCCAGATAGCTGTATGTGGAGGAGTGGGGAATCAAACCTGGTTCTACATATTAGAGTCCGTCACTCTTAACCACTACACCAAACTGGCTGTCACCCAGTACAGTACAGTGAAAGTGATAAAATCCAATGCTGGGGACACAAAAGAGTGGCACTGGTAGTGTTATACTGTTATTTCCTGCCAAATAAAAAGGTCATCATATGTAAATGTCCCCCATCTGCAAATACACATATTTACATACCAGTAAAGAGTGGCACTGGTAGTGTTATACTGTTATTTCCTGCCAAATAAAAAGGTCATCATATGTAAATGTCCCCCATCTGCAAATACACATATTTACATACCAGTCTATATAAAGGTAAAGGTTCCCTTGCTCGAAAGCCAGTCGAGTCCGACCCTAGGGTTGCGGTGCTCATCTCCATTTCAAAGCCAAAGAGCCAGCGCTGTCCGAAGACGTTTCCGTGGTCATGTGGCGGCAGGAGCTGGAACTAGAGACGGGAGCTCACTCTGTCTTGCGGCACCCGGGTCTCGAACTGCTGAACTACTGGACCTTCCACAGCCTGCAGTTCAACGTCTTAACCACTTGAGCCACCGCAGCTCCAGTCTATACCTGTGTAGAAAACCAGGCCCAGATGGATGTGCACTGGTCTTTAAATACATCCACATCATAAGGACATAAGAAGAGCCCTGCTGGATCAAACCTAAGGCCCATCAAGTCCAGCCTCCTGTGGCCAGTTAGTCACCTCTAGGAGGGCCACAAACAGGAAGATCGCAACAGCATTCTCCCCCCCCCACCCCCCGAGTGCTACCCAGCCACTGATACAAAGAGGCAACCTGCCACCGGTGCTGGAAGGAGTAAATATCCACCATGATTCGTAGCCATTGATAGGCTAGTCATCCATAAATTTGTCCCTTCCCCTTTTAAAGTCTTCCAAGTTGGCAGCCCTCACCACATCCTCTGGCAGTGAGTTGCACCATTTAACTATGCATTGTGTAAAGACGTTTGGTGTAGTGGTTGAGTGCGCGGACTCTAATCTGGGAGAACCGGGTTTGATTCCCCGCTCCTCAACTTGCACCTGCTGGATGACCTTGGGCAAATCATAGTTCTGTCAGAGCTGTTCTTGAAAAAGAGCAGTTTCTGTTAAGAGCTCTCTCAGCCCCACCTACCTTACAGGGTGTTTGTTGTGGGGAGGGGAAGGAAGAGGATTTTGTAAGCTGCTCTGAGACTCCTACGGGTAGTGAAGGGTGGGGTATAAGTCCAATCTTTTCTTCTTCCTCTTCTTCTGGATCTCCCACCCTTCAGCTTCAGCATCACCTTGACTTCTAGAATTATAGGAGAGGGAGCTTTTCCTCGACCCTCTTTCCACACCATGCAACATCCGTATGTTACATTTGGTTGATGAGGGTGACAAAGGGCGGGAGATGTTGGTTTTGATTGGCCCCCTTCTGTCCCGGCACCTCCCATTTTGTCCTCACAACAAATCTGTGAAGTAGATTGGTCCTTGATGCTACAATTAGCCCAAGGCCACTCCATAAATTTCATAAAGCTGAGGAAGGGATTTGAACCCAAGTCCCCCACCCCACATCCCAGTCTAATCGCCACACCGCACTGGCCATCAGTGCATGCCATGACGGCAACAATGAAAGAACGCTGGAGGTGGATCGATAATAAAACAGAAGTCCAGTGGCACCTTAATGACTCAGAAAATGTATTTTAGCAAGAGCTTTTGTGAATCAAAGTTCATTTCTTCAGATGCTGTACCCATTTGTTGTTGTTCAGTCGCACAGTCGAGTCCGACTCTTCGCGACCCCATGGACCACATCACGCCAGGCCCTCCTGTCTTCCGCCAACCTCTGAAGTTGGTTCAATTTCATGTTTGTTGCATCTATGACACTGTCTAACCATCTCATCCTTTGCCATCCCCGTCTTCTTTGACCTTCAATCTTTCCCAGCATCAGGGTCTTCTCCAGTGAGGGCTCCCTTCTCATTGGGTGGCCAAAGTATTGGAGTACCCATTTACCAGAAGAGTAATTTTCCAAGTTGCTGCATGCATGCTCTAGTAAATCAGTCAGCATTCTGCTTGTGCCAAAATTCGAAGTGTGTGGCTCTGAACTGGGGCCCCCTGCAGGTTCTAGTAGCATTTCAAAAAACTGGGGTGTACAGTGGGAGGATCCAATCACAGCTCTCCCAGCACAGATCTTCTCTACTTTGACCCTCAGGGGATGAGGTCGGTTAGACTGAGAGAAGATGACTGGAACGAGGTCACTCATTATACTATCCTAAGCCCACTGACTTTGGGGAGGGGTTGTGGCTCTAAGTAAGCAGAAGGTCTCAGGTTCCAACCTCAGCATCTCCAGTTTAAATCAGGTCGCAGGAGATATGAAAGATCCTGAAGAACCACTGCCCATCTTGAGTAGACAATGCTGACCTTGATGGATCAATGGTCTGATTCAATATAATGTGTAGAGCTGCCAAATCCCCCCGGGGGGCGGATTTCCCCCCGCTTTGGAGGCCCGATTTCCGCCCCCGTGGAATCGGGCCCCGGGGGAAACCCCACCCCCGCGTGCACGTCACAGGGAAGTGACGTCATGACGCGGGGCACGCTGGGGGCGGGGCACAGCCATTTGAGGGGAAAACTCTATGTGACGTGCAAGCAGCGCGCACGCGCGCGCACCAGGAAACAGCACAACGTCACCCGCTGGCAGAGGTGAGTTCATTTGGCAACCCTAGCTTCATGTGTTCCATGCACTTAGAAAGGTGTAATTCTGTTTAAGGTGGCACAGTGAGTGACTTCAAAGCTAAGAAGGAATCTGGACCCAGTTCCCCCAATCCTAGCCAGAAACTCTGGCCCACAGGCCACCAATCTTTTTGAGCCTGCAGGCGCCTTTGGAGTGTGGTGGGCCCAGCCGCAAAATGGCCGCTGCAGGAGAGGAAGCCAGCCACAAAATGGCTGCCGCAGCTTACCTTCAGTTACACAATGAGGTTTGTTGTGTTATGATGGCAGCTGCTGCCAAAGCAAATTTTTTAAAAAAATCCCAAGAGACTATTGTCTCCAATGGGCGATCAGAAATCCTGCTAGGCAAAAGCCCCAGCTGGCCTCACTCACTTTCTAAAAACGCTTGCCCATTGCCAGAAAAGGTGTCAGTGGCTGCCATGGAGACCATGGGTACCACATGGAGGACCCCTGCTCTAGCCACTATACCACACAAGTTCTCAACTGAGGCATACTGTCTCATGATAGTTTGGACCCAAGAGTTCCTTTGCACCATGAGGGAGACAATCTCAAGATCGTGTCAATGCAAATTCAGATTAGGGTTGCCGGTCCAATTGTCATGCCAGCGGGGGAGGGTTTTGCCCCAAACCCAGAGTATCCCCCCCCTGAGTTGCCTATGTCACTTCCATTTTTCATAGGCACATTGTGATGATTTTCAGGTTCCTGCTGGTAAGAGGGGGTGATGGGGGGGCAGAGGAGTGCCCGAAGCTAAGGGGACCCCTGCACCTGGATGTCTGGCAACCCTAATTCAGATGGCTTTATTAGCTGTGGGAAAGTCATAGAGGCCCCGGTCACATGAGAGGTTTTGGGCCGGGAGAGGGCTGGATCGGGGGCGCAGCAAACGGGCACGATCCCACTGCAACATCTGGGAAGCGTTGCACGCCCGTTCCCGATCCGGGCCTTCTGCCGAAAACCCCGCATCAAAAATGAACCACCTACAGAGGTGGTTCATCTGGGAAGTCCGCATCAAGGCCGGCCGTGGAATCGCCGGCGCGTCCGTCCGCCGGCGCATCCCCGGCTCCTGGCCGAACTGCACATGCTCATACATGCGCAGTTCGGCAGCCTCCCCCTCCCAACCGTGTCTTCCTCCCCAGCATCTGATCGTGCCGGGGAGCAACGGCGCCGTGGCTCAGGGGATCCGTGGGATCCCGCCGTGGTGTCTCTATTTTGGTGCGGCTCTAATTAGCCGCACTTTGGCCGGTGTTTTCCCTGCCGTGTGGCAGGGACCAGAGTAACTTTTCCACAAGACAGCCACATACGAAAGCCATCTTGCTAAGGGATCACACTGACAAGAGCCTTTGATCAGATAAATATTGAGGAAGGAGATCCACTGGCGGCAGCTCTTCTGTCTAAGAAAAAAATGTGCATGTCATTCCTATATGTGTGAATCCATCCACTGTTCCACACAACCTGTCGCTCTTCTGGGAAGCTGTCTTATTATGTAAGGCAGTTTTCCTGAGCAAAGTGAGAGGGACTACTGGAAGCCAAAAAAGGATCTTTAAGGAGAAGACAGTGACTCACAAACCCAGCAACCACTCTCTTCACCCTAAGGCAATTTCAGAGCTATTACAACTGCCTGTGGAGACTGAGAAAACTACAGGCCTTGAAAAAAAATCTTTCACGATTTGACTTCAGGGGCCTATGTTTCGCTGACTTCTCTGCTGACTCTGAGGAAATGTATTTGTCCCCTGGAAAATGTGTTAAAGAAAGCGACTTGTGATTTTACCATGAGGGGGAAAAAATTAGCTACCTCATACTTGAGGGAAAACATTACACTTTAGGCAAAATCTGCCTTTCCTGCTTGTATTAATGCCCATAAAAGATATGCTCTAGCAGCAGATCATTAATCCTGCAGTGGTAAATGGATGGCTCTCGGGATTCATTGTATACAAGCTTAAAATGTCATGGACAGAACTTCTGGACCAGGGTGAGGAAAGGTGAAGACGACGAATGCAGATAATGGTGCCTCGGAGAGAGACACTAGAGATGGAAATATTTTCATCCCTGGCCTGAAAGTGGAAAGGTGATGGAACGAGTGGAGGGTAAACCATGCCCAAATTACCACAGGTATCGTAGATAAGGCTGCTTAGGGTGACTTTTACGGAAATAACATATTGATTTCTATTTGTGATTAAAATCAAAGCGAAAATGTCCTTGCTGTTTCTTCACCCCTGCCCCCTCCCCCAAGACAGGTTCGGTAGATCTTGAAGGTTACCCACTGCAGGGTCCTCCATTCTGAGAGCCAACTGACAACTGCAATTGATGCTGGGTGACCATTCCTTTGTGGGGCAAATGGATCCAGTTTGGTGTGGTGGTAGAATAACAGACAAGGGCTGGGAAGATTTGGATTCAAATCAAGGTCGCTGGCTGACCTTGGGCCAGGTGCTTTCTCGGCAGAAGCTACTTCACAAGGGGACGTTTCAATGACAGACTCAAGGAAGGGAAAATGGTATGCACCAGAGCTCCTTTGAAGAAGGGTGGGAGGAAAAACCAGGTGAGAGAAGTATGAGATAATTGAGGATTCTCGCAGCATGTCCTTTTACCTGAATAATGTAAGATAGAGCCAAGCCTTTTGCTGCGGCGCTGATGGAAGATGGCGAGAGGACGACGAAGAGAGCCACGATCAGAGTCACAATGTTCATGAGGATATCGGTCCTCACTGCAAACCACCGCAGCGCACAGTTAAACAGCATGAAGTGGCCTGAGTTCTCGTCATTCAGCTCTTTAAATCTGAAACGAAAACAGAAGACGGGTCCTCGAGTCCGGTCGGTCTGAGCACGCAAACGCCAGGCCTGTTGCTCTGTAGATATCGGCTGGGTGTCTGTCTTCATCAGAATTTTCACTGCAAGCTTTTAGTCTCTTGGAATTATTTATCTGTAGAGTTTGCCTGGGGGACGTTCCGCAAAATTCACAGTGCAGTGCTTCCCAGGCCTACACCGTTCTAACACCGTTGACTTCAGTGAACTTAGAGGGGTGTGACTCTGCTTAGGAAGGCACAGTTGATCATACTTCTCTGTGGGTTTTGCAAAGGGAAGGCTGTGTAGTATAGCCTGATCTCATCAGATCTTGGAAACTAAGCAGGGTCGGTGCTTGGATGGGAGCGCACTAAGGAAGACCCTGCAGAGGAATGCAATGCCAAAGCCACCTCTACTTCTCACGCGCCACAAAAAAAACCCTTGCTGGGGTCGCCAAAAGTCAGCGGCAACTTAACGGCAGTTGTGTATGTGTGTTTACAAAAAGAAATGCTGCGGCTGTTTCCTACTCACCCCCAAGGGTTACCAACCTCCAGGTGGGGCCTGGAGATCTCCTGCTATTGTAACTGATCTCTACATAATACAGATCATTTTCCCGGGAGGCAACGGCTGCTTTGGAGGTTGGACTCTATGGCGCTGAACCATGTTGAGGTCCCTCCCCTCCCCAAAACCCACGTTCTCCAGGTTCTACCTCCCAGATCTCCTGGTATTTCCCAACACGAGGCTGGCAACCGACCCATTCCCCCTTAATACTTTCTTAAAAACAGGTCTCACCAAAAACGGATCTTACATGTTGTCAAGCCCATGCAAACATTAGAACCCAAACTTCACCGGGCTTCTTAAGTGTTATGTAATGGGTTGCCGCATGGATAAACGACCAACGACGACGTGGTGCATGGCACGCTTTATTTGGTACTTAAGATAAAACCAAATGGGAATGCAGGAAGATCCACGATCAAATCATAGAACCATAGAGTTGGAAGGGACCTCCAGGGTCATCTAGTCCAACCCCCTGCACAATGCAGGAAATTCAAAAATACCTCCCTTCCCCAGTGACCCCTGCTCTGTGCCCAGAAAAGGGCAAAAAAATTCTTCCCACATTTTAAAAAGCCATGTTAGAGGCAGGAGATGATTGGGATTCAGGGTGTGCAGAGGGGAAAGTGAGAATTTATTTCCCCACCCCCTCTTGTGGTATCGCCAAAAGAAACTACATACAGACACTTGTTGCTATCCTTCACAGGAAAAAGAATAGGAGGAAAATGGGTGTCCATTTTTTTTCCCTTTCTAGGGCTAAGAACAGTGAGGGGAGGTGCATTTTGCCAAGTGAAACCACATCGGACTGTGAAAGGATTAAGCCCCATCTCCAGCTAGTTTGGGTCTGTACTTGGCTGGCAATCCCTGGGGAACTGAAAGGGGCAGGACTTACCTGAACAGCATCCCAGATCGCCATAACGTCACTTCCGGCTGTGTAACCAGAAGTGCCATCGCTGCATTTTGGGATGCTCTAGGATTCACCCCAAGCTCTGTGGTTTGTAACAGAGAGTGTTCAGTGAATCCTAGAGTGTCCACAACGCAGTGGTATCAGATCTGGTTATCCCGCCAGAACTGATGTTGCAGTGTTGTGGGATGCCAGTTCGCCCCCCATTTCCCCCTGCTACCCCACTTAATGCCAGTGGGGATGGGGAGATGCTAGTCGAGGCTCCCCCAGCAGCAGCAGCAGTCAAATGGCAACCCTTGTCTATACACATTTTAAGTTTCCATTTAAAAGACCCTGGGATTTTTTTCATCTCCTTCTTGTCTGGTTTGACACCTTACTTTTACTTATTTACATATTAGTGGGGCACAATGCCAAAGAGTCCACCCTCCAAAGCAACCATTTTTTCCAGGGGGACTGACCTCCGTCATCTGGTGACCCATTGCAATAGTAAGAGATCGCCAGGTCCCACCTGGAGGTTGGCAACCGTAAGGCTATCTAGGTCCATCAGTGGCTATGAGTCAAGCTAACTAAATGCTTAGAGGCAATACACCTCAGAATGCCAGTTGCTGGGGTGCAGGGGGGGAAGCTTTGGGCCACCTGCACATCTTTCAGGACATCTGGTTGTAGAGTTGCCAGGTCTCCTTGCTCTGCTGGCAGGGGGATTTGGAGGGGGGCGTTCCGGGATGTCGTGTGGCAACACTCTGGTTTAAGGGCAAAACTGTATAGTTTTAGGTCAAATTTGCCACAGAGTTTTGCCTTCAAACTAGAGCGTCATGCACGATGTCCCCGATGTGATGACATCACGTCCGGGTGACGTCATTGCATCGGGGACGTTGTGCCTGACATGGCTGTTGAGGGGGGCAGGGTTTCTCCTGCTGGCCCACAGTGGGCAGAATACCCCAAAAGCACAGGAACCCCCACTGGGACCTGAGGGCTGGCAACCCTATCTGGTTGGCCCCTACCAAAAACAGGATCCTGGACTAAATTGGCCATCGATCTGATCAAGCGGGGCTCTTCTTATTCTCAGACGTTATATATGGTATATATAAAAAGGTAAAGGTAAAGATTCCCTTGCTTGAAAGCCAGTCGAATCCGACTCTAGGGTTGCGGTGCTCATCTCCGTTTCAAAGCCGAAGAGCCAGCGCTGTCCAAAGACGTTTCCGTGGTCATGTGGCCGGCATGACTAAACACCAAGGCGCACAGAATGCTGTTACCTTCCCACCGAAGTGGTACCTATTTATCTACTTGCAATTTCTTGCTTTCAAGCTGCTAGGTTGGCAGGAGCTGGAACTAGAGATGGGAGCTCACTCCGTCATGCAGTACCCGGGTCTCGAACTGCTGAACTACTGACCTTCCACAGCCTGCAGTTCAGCGTCTTAACCACTTGAGCCACCGCAGCTCCAATGGTATATATATGTGTTATATTTTATTGCACTGTTGTGCCGTGTAAGCCGCCCTGAGCCCGCATGCGGGGAGGGCGGGATATACGGTAAATGAAATAAAATAAATAAATATATAAATGAAGCACATTGATGCAAAAGTACTGTGCAACATGCAAACACAACAGTAAAAAGCAGAGGACTTAAAATCGGGGTGGGGGGGAGGTAAGCCATTATAAAAAGTAATAAGGAGCTTTTGCTCATCCTTAGGAATGGGTGCCTAAAGACTTCTTTGCTTGGTTTCAGTAGCTCCGTGATGTACGTACGGGGTGGGTTAGGCGCCCTTCTTCCTCAGTTGGTTGCAAGAACCTTGCTGAAGACTCCCGGGCTTTGTTGCATTCTCGCATTGAGAACAACCAGTTCCAAACAATGGCTTCCTGCTTGGAAAGAACATAAAGGACTCCGAGGAGGAGGCCGTGCGACTGCGCACATAATGATCTCTTTGAGACAATTCTGAGAAATCCACCGAGCAAAACCGGCAGCTTCCCCACGGCTTCTCATTTTCTGCAAATGAAAAAAACCCCAGGATCTCCACCGCCTCTGTAGCACAATAACGGAGCGGTTCCATCAATGTCCCCGCAGGTGTAAAACCCTCGGTATTGGTGGTCAGGTGGGGAATAACAGCACGCTTTATTCATCCTGTCCGAGAGAACTGACTGAGCAAATACGATCGTCTGGGGTGGAGAGGAAACAAGGCCCGAGTTAGGTGACTTACCGAGTGATATAATCATCCTTCTTGTTGTAGGCATGAATCGTACTAAGGCCTTGGACCGAAGAAGTTATCAGAGAGAACCACGGAGACCTGCTCATGTTTTCCACACGTTTCAGTTCCCGGATGGCCTTCTGAAAAATCCTGCCACAAAAAAATGCATTGCATGGAGTAAGTTCCCAGCGCTGGACTCCTGACTTCCTATTTCCAGTTGCAACCAGCCTTTTAGATTTGAAAACTTTAAGGGTAAAAAGCAGAGGGGAAGCTGGGGGTGGTGGTTTCAATTAGGTCTTCCTGGCACCATCAAAAGCTCAGTTTCAGGCATGTGGGGTCCCTGATTTGGATCAGGGCTGTGCAGGGTGAAGAGCAAGGGGTCTAGTCCTTTCCATCTTTGCATCACTTGACTTATCAAAGCCACCTGCTCCCATTTCTATTAGTCCTGGAAGGAAATGCAGTGAGGGAAATGTTGGTTTTGGAGGTCCCCCCCCCTTTCCAGGATTTACAGCTGCACAAAGAGAAGGTTTTAAATAAGCAAATCCATGCAGGCGTGGACAGTTTAAGCTTCTTCGCCGTCTCCCTGTGCTGAGCTGAATCAGCATCTCGTGTTCCTAATACTGAGATTTTGAAAGTTGATGGGGAACCTATGATCTCGGTTTTGTCTAGCTTGACCCAGGGTAGCTGGATACATATCCCCATAGCTGAAAGAAGTGGGGCCGGCAAACACTACAATACTCTTTTTGCTTAAGGTTGCCAACCTCCAAGTGTGGCCTGGAGATACCCCTTCCCAGAATTACAACTGAGCCCCGGACTACAGAAATCAGTTCCCCAGAGAAAATGGTTGCTCTGGAGGGCAGACTCTGTAGCATTATAACCTGGTGAGATCCCTCCTTTCCCCAAAACGTGCCCTCCCTGGGCTCCATCCCCAAATCTCCAGGAATTTCCCAACCCAGAGTTGGCAACCTGACGTATGCTGCTCATGACCTTCTGGGTTCTCCCAAATCCTGCTGGAGGAGCAGCCCTTCTATGGCCTTGGAACCACAGGCAACACACAACCTCGCCATCCTCCGGAGCCACCCCTGGTTTCTAGGAACACATCAGCAGTGTTTTCCGAGGTGTGCTCTCATGAGGCAAATAACGAAAAGTGCCGCTGGCGCTTTCCCCAGTCGAGCTATTGAACTGTTGGCGCATTTGCAAATTTGCAACCATCGCTCGCAAGCGCTTCACGCACCACTAAGCCCTGCGTGCAATTTGCCCTTCTAAGCTTGGCTCTATGGTGGTCTCATAACTCTTTGCGGGCCTTACGTTTCTGCGTCCTTTTCCTGAACCTTCTAAGCTTGGCTCTATGGTGGTCTCACAACTCTTTGCGGGCCTTACGTTTCTGCATCCTTTTCCTGAACTGTGCAGCATGCCCAAAAAACCCCCCACACCAGGTAATAAAAGGTTCAAATATTTCCTCTACTTGCATTCTCTTCTGCTAACACCCCCTCCCCCGGGTTTCCCGTAAAGGGGCTGTTCATAGCTCTTCAGAATATACTTGTTTATCTCCGTACAGTGGAACAAACGATGAATAATAATGGGACCCCTGATTTATTCCATTTGATATACTAGCGACAAGAGACTCGTAGAGCATTAACATTCTGCATGCGCCACCTGGCTCTTTCTGTCTCGGAGCGACGGCCTCCTTCTCCCCAAGCTACGGTATAGCTGCCGCTGCCTTTGCCGGGCTGCCGGTGCTCTGGAGGCAAGCGAGCTGAGGACAAAGGGCACATCCTGACAGCTCCCGGACAGACGAGGGAGAACTCTCCATATGCTCCCATCGTCCCGATTTAACAGGGGCGGTCCCAGTCTTCTGGAATCTGTCACCAGTAGAACACCATCCCTGGGTATTCTTGATTTTGCCTTTCCGGGGGGTGGCTGTCATATTTATAAAACGATTAGTGCTTGGTATTACTTCTTTGTGTTCAAGAACAAAGTGCAAATACATTTCCCCCCTGGCAGGGAGTAGGGATTTAAAGGCCTGTGCATGAACAATAATGTCCCGGGCAGTGCAAACTGTAAATCGGGTTGCCAGCCTCCAGGTGGGGCCTGGAGATCTCCTCGAATTAGCACTGATCTCCGTGCAGCAGAGATCAGTCCCCCTAGAGAAAATGGCTGCTTTGGAAAGGGGACCCTGTGGCAATCTACCTGCCTCTCGCCAAACCCTCCCCTCCCCTCCCCTGGCTCCGCCTCCAGAATCTCCAGGCATTCCCCAGCCCCGAGTTGGCAACCCTAGGTGTCAGTGATACAACTGCTAAGGTTTATTTTGAATAGTTGAAAAGGCAAGGGTAGGATAAATTCTTGACATCTGGAGTTTTTCTCCTCCTCGGTCGTAAGCCTCGGCCATAGGCCTGGTGGAACGCTCTCCCAGTGGAGATCCGGGCCCTGTGGGATCTTTTACAGTTCTGCAGGGCCTGCAAAACAGAGCTATTCCACCAGGCCTATGGCCAAGGCTTATGACTGAGGAGGAGAAAAACTCCATCTTCCTCCAACTCCGACTTCCCCCAACTCCAACTTCCTGCTTCTTTTGGTGGACCTTCCCCTAGTTTTCGATGTGGTTAAATTTTCCTCCTGATACTACATTGTTATGCCATCTGGCTGTTGTTGATTGCTGTTTAAATTGTTTTGATTTATCATTGTTTTATAAATATGCTGTTACCCGCCCTGAGGCCTGTTTTTTTTATTTAAAAAAGCTGGGTTTTTAAAGCAGCAAAGGATAGGCTAGGGTAGGATATATGGCTACAGAGTTATGTATAACCTTCAGTCATATGTAATGATGGCGCTTGGCTTGGGCAGTAATCCTTGGAACAGGATTGCAAACATATTATAAGCATACTCTGTTTTTAAGCACTGGAGGGTACAATCCTCTTCATAAAGGAAGGCAGTCCACGTTTTTTGTTTTATAAATATGCTGTTACCCGCCCTGAGGCCTGTTTTTTTTATTTAAAAAAGCTGGGTTTTTAAAGCAGCAAAGGATAGGCTAGGGTAGGATATATGGCTACAGAGTTATGTATAACCTTCAGTCATATGTAATGATGGCGCTTGGCTTGGGCAGTAATCCTTGGAACAGGATTGCAAACATATTATAAGCATACTCTGTTTTTAAGCACTGGAGGGTGCAATCCTCTTCATAAAGGAAGGCAGTCCACGTTTTTTCAAGGGTGATTGGCTTTTCAAGACTGATTTCAACTTTTCTCGCGCCTCAAGACAGGTGGGACTGGGGAGCAAAACACATCTTTTGCGTGCGGAGGACATGTGTTCAAAGGTATGTGCATGAACAATCAGGACTCAGCGAGAGCACAGGATTATTACACAGCTGATTCAGAAAGACTCAATAATCAATGCAGAAAGCAGGAATCTCTGCCAGGGCCTCACAACCACCTTGAGAGTAGGAAAAGGCCCAGGAATGCACTTCTGCAAGCACAAGGTGGGGTGGTTGGGTATTAGGGACGCCACATCCACTATGGCTGGGACATTCCCTGCCCCAGGTTTCATTGACCTCCACTGCTCCTGTGACCAGTGGGAGGAAATCTTTGTTTTAATCATCATTGGTGAATGGCCACTTCAGGGAAATGAAGACCCAGGAGTCACATCATCCCACTCTAGTAATTGCCAGAAATGTTTTACCATAGACTTTCCAGCGATTCCTAGATTGGCGTGACATCACTTCTGGGTTTTCAATCCCCAGAAGTGATGCAATGCCACCCCTCCATGTTGACCCTCTCCAGGCTATGGTATTGGATATGCACCTCGGATCCATACCCAGTTAAGCATAATTGCACCTTGATTGAATATTCTGCAGTTTTTACTCTGTGTGTATGTGTGTGTGTCTAAGAAACACAATTTAATTTTTACGGGAGCAGAGCATCCAACTTACTGGAAGAGGAGAACGAAAACAATCATTAGGACGGCCACAACAATAAGGAGGATAGGAAACACGACAGCGATGATGACGAGGATCGAGAGCACCATGCAAAACTGCTGCAGAAAATTCTCCGCGTGAAACGGGAGCCTCACGTCCAATTCGTCCATATCCTTCGAAAACCGGTTCATTAGTCTGCCAGTAGGCGTCGTATCAAAGAAGCTCATGGGACTCTGTAAGATCTGTGGATAAAAGGGAGGGGGACCCCACATTAGCAGCAACAACAACAAAACCGAGTGGCAGACGTGTCTTTGACAGCACTGAGATGGTATGAACACAACAATGTGCCATTCTGTTTGGAGACTGGAGGAGGGTCTTCTTTGTTAGGAAAATAAAGCCTTTCAAGAACAAAACAAACTTTTGTTTTTGCAGCAGTGGCTTAAAAAGGGAGGGAGGACAAAAATCATAAATTCAGAATATTGGAAAGAAACAATTCTCTTTAAAGCTGGCATAATTCCTGGACGCCTATCTCAAATCAGGTAAAAGACAACATCACAGGATACACACACTGGGAGATGCCAACATTCATTCATCTGCCCCTCCTTGAGCTATGCAATCCATATTAAGTATGCAGAACACTGCAGAGGGATATCTGCACAACAGATACGGGTAAACCAAGCAACAAAGCCAAGCCAGAACTTGCAATGGAAGGCAAAGCCTACCTAGAGTCTCTAGTTTATATCCCAATGACAAATCGTCAAGGTATGTGGCCTTGGGAGGGGCTGATCCAGCAGGGCTCTTCTGATGTTCTTATGAAGGCCTCGGCCTGTATCCCCTGTTGTTGGCCCTCCAGAGGAACTGGTTGGCCACTGTGTGAGGCAGGATGCTGGCCTAGATGGACCATTGGTCTGATCCAGCAGGGCTCTTCTTACATTCTTATGAAGGCCTTGGCCTCTCTGCCCTGTTGTTGGCCCTCCAGAGGAACTGGTTGGCCACTGTGTGAGACAGGATGCAGATAGACCACTGGTCTGATCCAGCAGGGCTCTTCTTACGTTCTTATGAAAGCCTCGACCTCTGTGCCCTGTTGTTGGCCCTCCAGAGGAACTGGTTGGCCACTGTGTGAGACAGGACGCTGGATGTCAGGACCCGCCCGACTACCAACCTACCCCAGGCCCGGCAATGGCAATAAGGAGGCCCCCAAGCCTCGGGCCTCCCACTCCCCTCTACTCACCCTGCTGGAGGGGCGTGGGCAGCCCGGTGCTGATGAAGCACCGGCAACACCAGCGACGACAGATGGTGGGGGCAGGGACGGGAGCACAGAGGCACAGAAAGAGGAGGCCAAGGGTGAGAGAACCCCGGCCTTGAAGCCTGAGGAGACTCAAGAGGGTGGAGGGTGAAAGGGGATCCAAGGGCGCGGGGTGGCCGGTGCCTGACATTGGACTAGGTGGACCACTGGTCTGATCCAGCAGGGCTGTTCTTAGGTTCTTTTGCAGCCACCCCCCTGCCCAAGAGGTACCTTGCGAAACATGGTATTGTGTAGCGTCGACGAAGCCTTCAGTGTTGTCTTTGTGAAAACGAAGCCTTTGATGATGCTCAGGACAATCATGGACACCATGCTCATCCCATAGACCAGCTGATAGAAGTGCAGGTTGGGGTTTTCGGTTATGCTCCCTGCGTTACAGGTGGCGTTCCCGGCCGAGCTGCAGTTGGCCTTTAAAGAATGGGTTAAAAAAAGAAAATCTCAACTTTGTAATGGTGGATAAAGTACCACCCCCCCCCAACAATGACAAATAGAGACAAAGGAACGTCGGGCAGTTTTCTGCTCTAGCTAATACGCTAGATAACTTTGCCCCGTGGGCAAAACAGTGATTACGTTATAAAGGAAAGGAAGCAGATGGTGCTGCATTTTAAACAATTAAATCAATTTCAGAACGGGGAGTCTGGTGACCAATACGCTTGATCCCAAAGCTGCACTTTCATTCAGATATCCATTCCTCAGTACGCCAATTGCTTCTTCTGTGTCTTGTCCTGTAGATGTTTGTAAACGGTGGTTTTGGATCCACCAGAGAGCTGCCGCAACCTTGGACAGCAGTAGACCAGGTTGCCAGCTGTTCGTTCCGGAGGCAATCGTATCAGGGTGTCAGGTTTGCCTCAATGAAGAAACATAGACAGGAAAGATTGGAAGAGACAGGCATAACAGTTGGACCAGCTTTTTCATCAAAGGTGTCAGCCTGGTTTCTTAATTTGAACAACCATACCGGAGACAGATCAAGATGGGTAGTCTGTCCGTAGCAGCAGAAAAGAGCAAGAGTCCAGTGGCACCTTAAAGACTAACAGAATTTGTGGGAGGGGGTGAGCTTCTGTGAAGACCTTGGGTTCTGATATCAGAGAGTCCACATGGGATGTTTCCTTCAAGAGTTGATAAGCGGAAATTGAAAAGAATTGTAATTGCTACACGCTCAGATAAAGCCATCCTGTGAAACGGATATTTTTTACATGGTGCAAAATCCGTTGTATGCGAGCGATATAAGAAGAGAGTTTTCTAAGAATGATTATAGTCAGGGATATTTTTGAGCAGAAACGCACAGGAACGGAGTTCTGGCTGGCTCCCAAGTTGGCCATGCCCAGCAGGAACTCATTAGCATAATAGGCCACACCCAACAGCAGAAACTCATTAGGATTGGCTACATTAGGGGTGTGTGGCCTAACATGCAAAGGAGTTCCTGCTACAAAAAAAGGCCCTGGGTTTTGACAACAAACAAGGTAAACAGAATAAGAAGCAAAAGGTGGGTGTGGCTGGATGACCACACTTCTGGTAACATGTGGGTGCGGCCTAATGTGCTAATGAGCTGTGCTGTCAGGGGTGTGGCCCAATATGCTAATGAGTTCCTGCTGTTGGGTGTGGCCTATTATGCTAATGAGTTCCTGCTGGGCTTTTTCTACAAAAAGAGCCCTGATTATAGGAAACAATTTTGCATACATATCTTTATTGACTTTTCGTTATTTTTGTCACAGATGCTTTGTTTGGATTATCAACCTCCGGGTGGCGGCCGAGGCAATGCCCCCTCTCAGCTGTGAAGTCTTTGTGAGCGACTGGCATTAAAGTTGTGAGTGAGCCATTTGGCTACTGCATAAATTAGTTTGCTCTGGAGCCACATCCTTCCTGAGCTAAGACAAAAATGTGTGAGCTGGAGGCTAAAAAAACTGTGAGCTAGCTCACACTAACTCAGCTTAGAAGGGAACACTGGGCTGGAGATCTCCTGGGATTTCAGTTGACTCTCGAAAGCTCACACTAGAGAATCAACCTCATCGCAGCAACAGTCTTTGAAAAGAACCCTGCACTTCTATAACGCTGCAGAGGTGATAATTTCGCCTCCTGAGAACCATACTTGAGTGTGAAAACCTACCATTCTACAGGTGAGAAGGCACCCTAACTCTGCAATCTTCAAGTCAAAAGTTCTAGCTCCGGTTCATTGAAGCAGGAGTCAGAAACTGACATTTTAAAACGGTAAGAAAGGTAGCTTTCGGAAAGGGATTATTTTCTACGTCTCACTTTATGTCGTTCCACCATGGGCTGCATCTGGGGAAAGCTGGGAAACCAAACCGTTCGATGCTCTCAGACTGAGTTGCGGAGAAGCAACTAGGTTGACCTGTTGTGCCAACAGCATAGGTTGCATTCAGATGTCAAGACTGACCATATTTATAAACCAAGGCCCCATCAACCCAGTTAGTTGTGAGCTCTGAATATACATACATACAGGGGTCATTTCGAGGGGGAACGACCCGGAACGCAGTTGCCCAGGCGTCGGGTTGTCTGGGGAGGGGAAGGGGAGGGGGGATTTAAATGCCTTTCTTTCCCTTCCTCATCTGGGGAAGGGAAAGAAAGGCATTTTAGATATGCCTGCCCTTTGTCGAGGGGTGTGGCGTATGCAAATGAGTTATGCAAATGAGCTCCTGCGCCTCTTTTTCTACGAAATGACTCCTGTATACATATACATATATGCATGTGTGTGTGTGTATGTGTACACACACATACTGGCAATTGTGGACTGGCACCAAACAAAGAGTTCGAACAAGGATCTGTGGCTGGCTTGCTAAACAGAGTGTGTTCTAGTTGTGACTAGTTGTGGTTTTGGATTCACAAACCAGGGTTGGGCAAGTAGCGTTGCCTCTCTCAGACAGCCAGGGTGGTTGTGGTGATTAGAGCAAGCGTCCCTAACCTCTTTGAGCCTGCAGGCACCGTTGAGCCTGCAGGGGCAGCCACAGGACAGCTGCCGAAGGAGGCAGAGCTGATCACAAAATGGTTGCCGCAGCTTACTTTCAGCTGCACAGCGAAGACCCTTGTGCTGCCGTAGCAGCTGTGGCCAAAGAAGCATTTTAAAAGATCTGCACAGCAAATCAAATCTCCAGTGGGCAATCAGAAGGCTTGTCAGGCAAAAGAAGAATAGATTGGAGATTTATACCCTGCCCTTCCCTACCCAAAGAAGTCTCAGAATGGCTTACAAGCTCCTTTCCCAACCTCCCTTTTCCCCACAACAGACACCCTGTAAGGCAGGTGGGGCACTGAGAGAGCCCTTTCGAGGACTGATCTTGAGAGAACAGCTCTGAAAGAACTTGTGACTGACCCAAGGTCACACCAGCAGCTGCATGTGAAGGAGTGGGGGATCAAACCCGGTTCTCCCAGATTAGAGTCCGCACTCTTAATCACCTGGCCCCAACCACAAGCACCACACTGGGAACCCCTGGATTGGCGTGTCGGACTGGGAGACCCAGGTTTGAATCCCCAGTTATGCCATGAAAGCTTTCTGGGTGACCTGGGGGCCAGTCACTCCCTCTCAGCCTCACCTTCCTCACAAGCTGGTAACTGTGAGAACTAAATACAGGTGAGCAGAATGATCTAAGCTATCTTAAGAACATAAGAACATAAGAGACGCCAATGTTGGATCAGGCCAAAGGCCCATCCAGTCCAACACTCTGTATCACACAGTGGCCAGAAATACCAGGTGCCATCAGGAGGTCCACCAGTGGGGCCAGGACATTAGAAGCCCTCCCACTGTTGACCCCCCCCCCAGGCACCAAGATGACAGAGCATCACTTGCCCCAGAGCCCCTATCTATACCTTGTGGCTAATAGCCACTGATGGACCTCTGCTCCATATGCTTATCTAATTCCCTTTTGAAGCCGTCCATGCTTGTAGCCGCCACCACCTCCTGTGGCAGTGAATTCCAAGTGTTAATCACTCTTTGGGTGAAGAAGGACTTCCTTTTATCCGTTCTAACCCCACTGCTCAGCAATTTCATGGAGTGCCCACGAGTTCTTGTATGGTGAGAAAGGGAGCAAAGTACTTCTTTCTCAGCCTGCTCTATCCCATGCATAATCTTATAAACCTCAATCACGTCACCCCTCAGCCGTCGTTTCTCCAAGCTAAAGAGCCCTCTTAGATCCCCATTCAGGAGAAAGGCAGGATATAAATGGAGCAAATAAAGAAATAAAATTTCAGCAGCCTGTCCGCAGAGATGCCAGTATGTGGAGGATGTCCTCTGAGGTCGATGAGCCATTTAATGTAACAGGAAAGTTCCAGGGGGGGCACTGCTCTGAAGGGCCATTGGCACCCAGGAACAAGGGGCCACTGTGATGCTCCCACTGCCACACAGGCCACTTGACTCGGCTTCTACAAGGCTGTCTGAACAGCCCGATCCACCCTTCACGCCCTCCCCACCGGAAGGCGACGAGGTGGCCAAAATCAGAGCAACCTGGGTTGACGCACAAACCGAGATGTGTTACTTCCACGGGGAAGACTAACCTGAGTTTGCTGTGCAAACTTCGGTTGAACCAAACCACGGTTCGCTGTGACACCTGAATGCAGCCCAGGAGGCTGATGGCACCTTAAAGAGAGACACATTTGTTGTAGTAGAAGCTTCCGGGGGTCACATCCTCGGGTTCGGAGTGCTGAGTGGCACACTTACCCCTGAGCCCTGTTCCAGCCAGAAACTCAGCCACCAGCTGCTGAACGCCGAACAGCCAATCATCAGAGCGAAGAGCAGCACCATGAAGAACGACAAAATGAAACCTAAAAATGGAACAGCAGGCCAAGTGAATGAATGCTGGCATGCTTCATCCGCTGCACTCAAGCGTGACTCTTTAGGGTTGCACCCACTGCATAATGTCCTTTGGGAAGGAGCCCTATCGAACTCGAGGACCCTACAAAGCCCATGTGGCAGACGTTGAGCAGATCCGCTCTAGACGTTCTGTGCTTGAAACTTAATTCCCAGGTGGATGTGCGCTCAGTTCAGATTGGGATCGTGGCATGCTAGGAGAAAACACTTAAGCCTCTCCTCCATGCTGTTTTCCCAACCTGGAATGGCTACAGGGACTGCAGCCACTGCTTGTCCTGTGGGGGAAACCTAGGTGTGCAGAAGGCTCCAGGTATGGTTTCCCTGTCAGGTTAATTATTAGCTCCTCAGAAACTGTTTCAGGTTGGGGAAATGGTGCAGGGGGAAAGGTTTAAGTCCGCTCTCCCTGCAGGCCGCTCTCTCAATCCAAATCGGGCTCGAAGGTGCCTGGGACTTCTAGCACAACGGTCAAAAATCCACCCTATGTTCTTTGTAACATGAAGATTTGCCCTCTGAGTATCCTTGCGGTAGAGATATTCCAATTTAATCTTTGTACCTAACTCTGTCTGCACAGAGCTCTCATTCTGGCACTGTGAACATAATAACGATCCTAATATCTAACATTCTAGTGTGCCCTCATTTGCGGATACTTAAATCCACAGACTGGGGCCACACTGACGAAAAACAGGTAGTTCTGCAGATTTGGGGGGACCCCCCCCCCAGGTTTGCAGAAACATCTGCAAATATTTAAAAAATTACACGGGGGTTTAAATCCCCATAAAATAAAAAGGCATTGTCTGCAAACATTGTCTTCTGTGTTGTGTCTTGTGGTGAAGGCTGGGAGCAGAGAAACAGGGCCGCATGCTAACAAGGTGTTAGAAGCGGAGGACTTTGCGCTGTCTCCTGTCTCAAACTTGTCTCAAACTTGGCACCAAAGAGTTTAGGCAGATAGAGAGGTCAAGACACACAGAGCATCCTTTCCTTCCTGCTCTCTGATCCTTTCCTTTGAAGCAGAATGCTGCTCTTAGGGGCAATTTCCTCTTCTTCTGCTCTCTTACTCTCTTCTCTCTCACACGCACATAAAGGTGCATAATCCTCTTAGGGGCAATTTCCTCTCCTTCCGCTCTCTTACTCTCTTCTCTCTCACATGCACATAAAAAAGGTGCATCATCTCTCCATCTTGCACCATGGAGGCTGGACAAGTGTTCCGCATCCAACGCCATCTAATTAGTTAGAAAAGGTAATCAATCTCTATCTCTTACCTGCCCTCTCAAGCGTGTATTTCCTTTAATAAAAGTTACTCCTTAGTTTTAGAACTGACTGCTGACTCCGTGTAACTTTGCAAGTCTGTTGCCACACCAAGCCCCAAGCTCTGCTGCGTTAAAGCCTTTGAGCACTCTGCTATTTTTCCGCGGTTCCCTGGCAGTACCTAGTCCAGAGAATCCAACACAAGGTAGGTAGTTTCAGCATTCTGGGGAATGGATGCCACAGGTTCACAGAAAAATCAGGCTGCAGGCTTTAAAAAGGAATGAGCAACTGTCCAAAATATGGTGTACTGAGGACTCAGCATGCTTATTGCCCTCTAAGAGTGAATATTGAGGGCAATTAAGTACCAGATAAAGGGGCAACTGGTTTGTGAAGACAGAAAGCTCAACATTTTCACCAAACTACAAGTCCCAGAATTCTCTGGGTAGGTATATAGCAGTCTGTTTCAGTGTGTACTGCAGATGAGCTCAGTGAGGACTGAGAGCCAATTCGGTTTCAGCAGGGGTCCTCCATTCTCCTGGCACTTGCAGGGACTTTTGGAGTTTTGAAAGGACAACACAGAATGGCTGCCGTGGGAGCTGGGACCCATCCACCAAGCACCCTCCTGTAGCAGGAACTCCTTTGCATATTAGGCAACACACCCCTAATGTAGCCAATCCTCCAAGAGCTTACAGAGCTCTTCTTACAGGGGCTACTGTAAGCTCTTGGAGGATCGGCTACATTAGGGGGGTGTCGCTTATTACAGGGCTCTTTTTGTAGAAAAAGCCCAGCAGGAACTCATTAGCATAATAGGCCACACCCAACAGCAGAAACTCATTAGCATATTAGGCCACACCCCTGACAGCACAGCTCATTAGCACATTAGGCCCCACCCCCATGTTACCAGAAGTGTGGTCATCCAGCCACACCCACCTTCTGCTTCTTATTCTGTTGACTTTGTTTGTTGTCAACCAGAGCTCTTTTTGTAGCAAGAACTCCTTTGCATGTTAGGCCACACACCCCTAATTGTAGCCAATCCAAATGAGTTTCTGCTATTGGGTGTGGCCTGTCATGCTAATGAGTTCCTGCTGGGCGTGGCCAACTTGGGAGCCAGCTGGAACTCCGTTCCTGTGCGTTCCTGGCCAAAAATAGCCCTGTCGCTTAATATGCAAATGACTACCTGCTACAAAAAGAGCCCTGCGCGAGTCCTGACAGAGCGGAAATGCTGATTGCCACTTTGGGGTCAGGAAGCCATTTTTCTCCAGGCCAGTTTGGCCAGGGATCCTGGAGGGTTTTTTGTCATCTTTTGGGTGTGGAACAGCCGTCACTGGGGTGTGGAGGGAGAGGTATTCATTAATTTCCTGCATTGCGCAGGGTGTTGGACTAGATGAACCTGAGGCCCCTTCCAGCTCTATGATTTTGTGATTCTAATGGAAGCAGCCATTTCTGAACAGGAGCTCCTTCTATACACAAAGGTGATGTCTTCTGAATTCTAAGCCCCTCCTGCTCCAATAAGGTAGAGGAAAACCAGGAATGGCAATTTGCTTCTTCTTTTTTTTAAGCCCCCGGAGGGGATTTTTTATTGATTTTTTATAACTACCAAAAAATAACGACAACAGAAAAGGGGGGGGGATACTACACATACGGGAGAAAGTAAAGTACCCACTACTATCTAAAAACCCAAGAAAGGAGATCCTCCAACTAGCTTTGATACATCAAGTCTTCTCATCGTTGTTCCTTTTATAAACTGAGTCCAACATTTAAAACCTTTTACCCTTAGAGTTTACATTTAACTGTCGAGTAACAGTACCCCCAATCATCCCCAAGAACCAAAGTTCTCAAAGGCACAATTCAGAGTCCTTCAGCCTTTACTTCTTCTTTTCCCTTCTCTTCCGCAACTTGTAGGGACTTTTCGGGGCCAGGAATGGCTATTTGCTTTGGGGGAAAGATTGGCGGAGGGGGGAGAAGCAGTTGGGTGCCAGGAAACTCATCAGTAGGCACCATGGTACAGTTCACTGGGTTACAGGGTTGGCCTAAGCCAGGGGTCACTTTGTAGAAAAAGAGGTGCAGGAGCTCATTAGCACAACTCATTTGCATATGCCACACCCCCTGGCATCACCGGAAGTGTTTCAGAAGGCAACACCCACCACTCAGGCTCCACTGGACTGTTCTGGATTGCTAGCTATTG